ATTATGCACACAATACTCAGTGACATTATGTACTCCACTTCAATGAATCAGTGATATAGGACTGTGATATCAAATAAATCTGAGGTTACCTTATATAGTATCACCAATAAGATCAGCATCATCATCAATATGTACATAATAATATTACCACATAGCTGAAAAATTTATTTTGCATCAAAATTGTCTAAATATAATAATAGTGTTGTCTTAATTTGGTGATTTACTATCTTGTCTTATCTTGAAACTGCTTCTTGCCCACAGTCTTGACTGAAATAATGAGAAATACTGTCATTTAGGCATTTTTAGTATCACATGCTCATGACAGAATCCGCCCATCATTGCAAGTATTATCGATGGTTATGATATTGGCAGTTTTATTTTGAACCGCCAATCTGCAAAAATTAATTTTCCACCAATTCTACATCATGTACTCTCTCTCTCTCTCTACTTCTCTCCTCCTGCATGTGAAGTAAATCTTTCTGTACATAATTTTTGATGACTAAGCAAAATTTCCCGCTACATGCTAACATGATATGGTATTTATAAAATAATAATGAATAAATAAATAATGAAGATGGAATATTGAGAAATCAATTATAAATTATATAATAAATAAATATAATGGTGGTATCTATAAATGAATAATTAATTAATAACAAGTAAAATATTGGACACAGCTTTCTAATAAGAACGTTTTCCCGTATCTTAGAGAATTTCATATAAATATACTCAACGGACGAGTTCACCGTGTCCCAGAACCCCTTGGAGATCTTTGGCCATTGTTCTAGACTCAGCTGTGGGTCCTACAAGTGACAAAAACAGCCAAGGATAAATGGGCATCAATTAGAATAAATCCCTAGCATTAATAAAGTGGGCATTAATTAGAATACAGGTACGCATCACTTAAAAATGAAATACCTCAGCTTGTTGCATTAATTGAAGATATTGTTTCAATTTCTGTGTCATGATTAGTTGAGCCTGACCCACTGTCGTATCGTCTATCACTATAGTATAAAGTAACAAAAATAATAATAACAGGAACCATTGATGGACTTACCTTCATGACTGGGATGACCAGTGTCCTCTTCTTTCCGACCAGTGTCCTCTTCCTCTCCTTTAAACAGCGAGAGTTTATCGTTCCACTCGGCACAGAGTGCATGAAGTCGTTGAGCAGTGTCGGTGTGAAGCTCATTTACTCTAATATGACATAATGGCCGACACGATGCTCCTGATTGCTCCACCCCATGGGAGTGACACTGCACCCCCTTGATCCTCCTTGTTTGGTGTAGGTCTATGATGAAACAAAGACTCGAACAAAGAGCTGTCGCTACTAGCTTTAGAGAGTGTTTAAAAAGACAGAGAAGGAAATCCTTATCTAGTCTAATATTTTACATTATTATTTCAGGTTAGTTAGAAATTAAGTCAAAGTTAAAATAATCTATTCACTTTAATAATAATTATGTATATACAGTGGAACCTCGCTTAACGACCACCTCTAAGTAACGGCCGTCTATCATATAACGGCCAAATGTCCTGGTCCGGATGCAAACTACACTTACTTGCCTGTTAAGGCAACCCCTGAAGAACGACCACCTCTCTATTGCGTATAACGAGCACTCAAAACGTCCCCAACACAGCATAAAGCATTGAGAAAAACTTCTCTTTAACGGCCATGTGGCCACACGGCCCACACCCAACACCTAGACCGGATGTTTTCATCATAAAACGTCACCTACAGCCCCACCCATCTAAATAAAATGGCTGAAAACTTGAGCATTCCCTTTTTTTTCTTGCTGTAATTCGCTTATTTCCCTGCTATCTCTTGCATACTACCTTCAGGACCTTTGTACTTGTTATTGACCTGAGGAATGAATCAAGATACTTAAGAAGGCAACACAGTTAAATATTTCTTAAGTTAGACACTTTAAGCTGAAACCCCTCAATAAAGACCACCCCTCTATAACAGCCAAAGGACCAGTCCCCAATGGTGACCGTTATACAGAGGTTCCACTGTATTGTGCATAAATTTTGAATTAAATATTTAATTGTGCCTATTAATTTATATACACGTATGCATGTATTAATTGTTCATTTTTATGCAGAAAATTGGGGCTAAAAAGTAGAAAAGTGAGGAAGAAGAGCTGAAGAAGGAGAGAGACAGGAAAAAGCAACAGGAACAAGATGAGGCAGGCATCGAACCTAATTTTATCATTGCAAAGGTGAACATCTCATCAAGTCGAAAGGCTCCCCTTCCTGTTAAACCAAGTAGTTCAGTGACAGTTAAAGAAGGTCCTATTAAGAAAGGAAGGAAACAACTAACAGAACCACCTGGTGACACCAAGATAGAGGAGTTGGGAAGGAAAAGAGCTACTGGTTCAATACAACAGGCCACACAATCTTCCACAACTGACGTAACTCCGCCCTCTGAAAGTTTGGGGAATAATGCTACAGAAGCTTCAATTTGGCACCATTTTATAAGCTTCACACCGACACTGCTCAACGACTTAATGCACTTTCTGTGCCGAGTGGAACGATAAACTCTCGCTGTTTAAAGGAAGAGGACACTGGTCGGAAAGAAGAGGACACTGGTCGTCCCAGTGATGAAGGTAAGTCCATCAATGGTTCCCCTGATTATTATTTTTGTTACTTTATACTATAGTGGTAGACGATATTAGAAGGACAGTGGGTCAGGCTCAACTAATCATGACACAGAAATCGAAACAATATCTTCAATTAGTGCAACAAGCTGAGGTATTTCATTTTTAAGTGATGCGTACCTGTATTCTAATTAGGATGTGATGTTTTGATGATGAAAACTTCTTGTCAAACTCAACTGAAACCGACTATACATTTTGCATGTACTACAGTTGCTATCATTTTGTTTTGTTAATTCTGTACATGTTCATCATCACAATAACACATTCCTACAACTTACCATGTACCTGTCTAATGTAGATTTATGAGTGTACATGTACATGTAATTGTAAATGTATAGCAATTGTTGTTATTATTATCATTATTATTCTTAGGCTAGTATTGACAGTACTGATGGTCGTGGATCTGGTAGAGTTCAGTTACGTAAAACCGAACCTCCTCCCACTAAACCAAGATCAGGAACAACCAACACTTCTACTGACTTCGGAGTTAAGCTGAAGGTATTAATAATTGATTAAATAATAATTATTATTCTAAATATACTGATTGATGGCATGAGAATTTCAAATATTCATGAGTACATGTACATTGTACATGTACTACGTTGTATAATAGCTGGTAATTTTGGAGTGGAGATTTTAGCGAATTTTTGGTATTTTATAGCCATTTGTCAAAATAAAACCACTATAGATATACACATTGTATCTTGAACCATTGTGTGCTGCTGGTACATGACCAGTAAAGGGTTAGTTAATGGAGACAGTACAGGCAGTACATGTACATGTAGATACTGGATATTAAGATACGTGTATCATAGGAAGGAAATTTTGGGTGGAGTGTTTGGTGTTTTGATAGTTATTTGCCAAAATAAAAATCTGTCATTTTGAGCCATTAATTTATCAATCACCAAAATTTAGCAATTTGTCAATTAAATTTAATTCCCTCCAAAATTTCCAGATACATTTACATGGTATGTTAGAGATCATTATTATTGGTATTGTGTGTGGCTTCTTCCTAATAGTTGTGATAATTACATACCAAATATGGTATCATGTACATGTACTGGTGAGTAACTGCAGCAGCTGCTAATCATTCTTTGAATATTATAATCACTCACTAACCAACACTGGACCTAATCACTCAACCTTACATGATACATGTACAGTATATCGTAATTCTTCTAAAAAGTTCTTCTAATTTCGCCATTTCCCTCCAATTTCGACACTCGACAGCATTATAACACATGGACCTGTGCTGGAAGAGGCCAAAAATCATGTCTAACTCACAGTGATGCCTCGAGCAGCACTCCACCAGACAGATGACTGCCATTAGTAGGCCTAAGTTCAAGATTCAGATTGTATTAGTCAAGCAACAAAGAAGCATCGACAGACTTATATCTTGTCCAAACATGCACCTTAGTGCCTCCTATTTCATCATTATTAATTTTTAGTTGACCATAAAGGCTTAGTTTACTCTAATTATTCGTTTTCAAAATTTATTTATCAAAATTAAGTGACTATGGCGAATTTTTAGAAGAATTACGGTAGTCTCTCTTAATGGACACTCTCTATAGCGTACACCTCCATTTAACGGACAGCACCTAGTGTACCAATTACATTTCTTACTGTATAAAATAACCTCCACATAAAGGACACCTCTGTATAACAGAGACACTTTCTTGTACATAAGTGTCCATTATATAGAGGCTAGTCTGTACACACTCAAATGCTACATAAATAAACAGACACAGTGACACACTAATAAATTGTGTCCTTTAAAATGTGCTTAATAAAATGAAATGATGATAAGCAGAAGAGAGAATCTTGATTGCATACGAAATAATAAATAAATAAAACTTATATTTAGATAAGTAGACCTGTTTTATAAGGCAATAAATTATATCAATAGCACATTCATATTTACTGTGATGTCATGTTCATGTACCTTGTACATCAGTAGCTTAATATTTTATAATCTGGTTTATGTTTACACTTATATGATAATTAATACATGTAGATTAAAAATAATGGATTTACATTATTAAATTATTTATTATTTGTTATTATCAATAGTCTCGTACACAGTCGGACGTCACTTCTGCCCCTCCCACCGATACAAAATCAAAGTCATTAGCCACACCCACTAATAGAACTGGAGGGGGCGGAGCTCCAAAGACGTTGGCCGACTTTCAAAAATTGACAAGTCGTGGAAAACAATCACCAGCTGGTCAACCAACCCAATCAAATGCACCAAAAGGTAATGAATATTAATTAATTGATAATGATAATAATGGGCTTTTGTTTTTAGATAAACGTGCATTAATTAGAATGTACGTAAATGCTTCTCTAGAGGTACGTCCTCCTGTTTCATCTGATCAGGAACTTTACCAACTTTGTACCAAACCATCTAATCTTTGGTAATCATCAGTTTATCATTATTATCATTATCCT